GCGTCGCCCTCTCCCTTCCCTCCCCTTCCCCGGCGGAGGGGCGGCGGCCGAGGCGGAGAGGCCACGGCGCGGCCCTTTGTGGCCTCCCACCCGGCCCGCGCCCCCTGCGGCCGTCGGGGGCTCGGCGCCTGCTCTGCCCTTGGCTTCGCTGCCCTTCCCCAGGTGCGGAGAGGACCGCGACCCACGCCTCTATAGCCTCCCGGGGGCGGCTTGCGGGAGGAGCTCGCGGAGAGGCGGGGCTCGCTCGGACTCGACCTCGGGGCTCTGGCCTCGGCCTGCGTCCCCCCCCCGTCCCCCCCCCTGCTGCCGGCCAGCGGGGGTGGGGAAGGAGGGACCCGGCTGCATCCCTCGCCTCCTCCCCCACGGCGCGTCCCCGCGGTGGCGAGATTCCCGGGGGACTTAGGGGCGGGGTGGAAGGGAGTCCCGAACACGCAAGATGTGGTCATGCTAGTTCGCGCGGGGGGCGGGACACACGACACCCGAGGTGTGCACTGCACGGGGATGACATTACATACATGTACACACGCATGCACACGCACAGCCCACGCATCAATGTCGGAGGAACGCAGTGGCCCGAGGCACGCGGAATCCCGTGCAGCCCTAGTGGAAGGAGAGAGATGCAGCCCGTGGAACCCTTTCTGTCGTCACTAGCTGCTAGGGAATCCCGGCCGGGGGCGGGGAGGCATGGGAACTGAGCATAATTTTAAAGCTTCTGTCTTTCACCTAGTCTGGAGCTCACCTCCTTGATAAGGTAGATAGACAATACTAGAGAGGTGAACGTTTTAAAATCAAATGGCGCGCGGGGCGCGTCGGGGGGGCGGTGCATCTTGAGAAGCCAGTGTTTGTAATGGTGGGGGGTTTTCAGTATCCAAAAAAGCCACAAATGCACTGCTTTAATAGAAATTTAAACCGGACGGATTACAGCCCTTTTGTCTAAGGAGAAAGGTGTGTATGCGGTGTAGAAGATGACTAGGATAACATACATACTGCTGCTGCAGTACAGGATTCCCTATTACATCCAAAATGGAGGACCTACCAATACTGCAGGAATCCATTCAAAAGTTTTGGTGTTCTAAGATGAGCTCCAGGTCACAGTTTGGAAAGCTGGGAAAATGCACTTTCAAATGAAAAGCCAGCATGTTATAGACATCCTTGGTCAGTGCTTGACTTGTCTGTGAAAAAATGGTATAACCTGTTTTAACTGTGAAAAGCTTCCTGATTTCAGAGCTCAACATCGACTTAATTTGCTTTTTGGGAAGAAGTCCTGGTAGAAGCAGTGACCTGGAGCTGTGGCACAGGACCAGGTAGCCTCAGGTAGTAAAAAACATGGTGCCGCTGCCTTAAACATAGTGTACTTCGAGAACACTAATTTCCACCCACATATCTAATTAAGGTTTGCCATCACAGAGAGTATTTTATTCAAGGATCTCCAAGGACTGAAGAGAAAACAGCCTTGCCAGTCAAATGTCCTTGATGTCATATTAGAAGAGACAGAAATGTGCATTTCAAACAGCCCCATGCATTATTAGTACAATAGGCCTGATTAGAAATCATAGCCTCTGTAAGGTGCATTTGTGTAAATTAGTGTAGTTTAAAATGCTTGCATCTTAAGTATTCTCCAAGTTAAAGAACATTAACTGTGAAGACTTTTTTTTTCTTGAAAAAAGCATTAATAGATATTGAATCATCCTGGGGAAAGTATTAATATGACAATGTTCAACCACAAAGTCACATGCCATTCATACCAATACAGTAAACACAACAGAGCTCATGTTTCAAGGAAAACTCTTCTTACAAAGGACCAAAAGAGGGGGCGGATTATTGCTGTAATGACTGGAGCTATCTCCTACCAGAGACAAGAAACAGGATAAAAATTCCTTGCAGATGACTCCATAATCCAGTTCTCAGTTGTGAAAGTTAATCTATCCTGAGCTAAATAAGGTATATATCACCATCATCTTTATCCTAACAGCAAAATGCTCCAAAGGTATGGGCACCAAATTAAGTGATCCAAGAGGAAAATGCCGTTCTTGTTTTCTGTGTTTATTAAAAATGTACTAGCTGAGAATGTTGGCTGCCTGCAACCATTTCCATCCTTGTGAATGGCAGCTTGCCAGCTCGCAAGTTGGTCATACCATTGCCTTTGGATTTAGATCCTCCAATGGGTGGCCTGACCTCCAAAGGTCATTTTGTGGAAGGGCTATTTGTTAGCTATGACAAAATATTATTACTTCTTGTTCATATTTGGTCTAACATTGAAAGAGCAAAGGAAACGAGCTAGGAAATCAGAGACTAATTCTAGTCACAGGAGAAACTGTGGAATGTGTTACTATATAGACTAAAAGAATTTCAGAGATGGGAGGAATCTTAAATCCAACCCTCTCATTTTTAGGAAGAGGAATGTGAGACCGGGAGAGGTTAAGCAATTTGCCCACAGTCTTGCAGTGTCTTTGTGGTAGAACTGAAACAAACACAGGATTTCCAACTCTTGGTCCATTGTTCCTCCTCCCATATCATACTGACTTTCTATGGTATAAGAGTCCACTTGGAAACGAATTAAAGCTGATTATCTTCTCATAAACTTTGCTTAAGTAAAGTTGGCTCTAGGCATGGTGGCACACACCTTTAATCTCAGCACTCAGGAGGCAGAGGCAGGTGAATCTCTGTGAGATCAAGGCCAGCCTAGTCTGCATATAGAGAGCTCCAGACCAGTAGGGCTACAGGGAGACTGTCTCAGAAAAAAACAAAAAAAATTGGCTTGAATGAATCATTGAACTCATTGAAAATCATTTGAACCATTCTGTCCTAAACACCTGGCCCATCATGTAAGGACTTCCATATTTGAAAGGGGAATGAATGAATAAATGCATGAGTGAATAAATGACTGCTCTAAGATACAGAGAATACTGTTAAAAGGAAATAGACTAATATGCTTGTGTGTGGGCATGCGTGCGTGCATGTGTGTAATCTAACCCTGGGTCTTGCGTATGCTAAGTGTAGCGCACTAGACCACCAGCTACATTCCCACCTCAGACTTTCTTCTTAATATCAAATGTATGGATCTCAACTTTCCCTCACCAAAACTTCTGACCCCAGCTTAGCATTACAAATTGGCCTGTACAGCTCTGTGCAGTGTGTACTAAGATGGAAATGAAAGGAAATGTGCTTCTGCTGCTGATGGGCTGTCTGCAGGAGGGCTGTCAGTTGGACTCCCAGGACTCCCTTAGAACCAGCCTTGCTTAAACCCATCAGATAGCATCAGTATAGGCTTGTCCTCCATTTATGGGCATGAGGAGGAGGATGCGTGACTAATGCTATTCAGCAGTCAGAAAGTCAGTATTAGGGACTGAAGGCACAGTCTCTCTCTCTCTCTCTCTCTCTCTCTCTCTCTCTCTCATTCTGGAGTTACCTAGGATGGATGGAAATGAAAAGGTACTTTGGAGTGAACTTGTTTGCAACAGTACTGTATTTTCTTTTGTGGCAGTTCATGGTGTGATTTTAGTTTGTCTCCTCAAGAATGGGAGAAAAATAATGTAGAACATGACATTCCAGTAGGATTGAAAGTGCTTTTAGTACTCATCTTTCAGCTTTAGCTGCCCATATATAATCTCAGTTTCAAAATAATACCAGAAAACCTTAGAAGAAACTATTATCCTCTCTGCCATTTGAATTTTTCCCATTTGGCATTTTCTCTCTCCTACATTAGGATATATTCAGTCAACTTCACTTCTTCCTTTCCAGAGTTTCTTTCCTAAGCTTGACAATATTTAGACTTGGCAGAAGAGTCGCCTAGCCAAAATGGAGTTAGTTACATTATTGGAGTTTATGTTAATTAGGAGAGGTCATATTCTAGAAAGTGAAACACATTATTTCCACAAAATTTAGCCATGACTGCATTAACGAATGTGGCAGGAGGGTTCTGTTTCTAGGCAATAATCAAACTGTTATGCTTTAGAAAATGGTTAAAAATAAATATTGTCATTAATAAAATTCTTAGCCCTTATCTCCTATTTCATAAAATCTAACAAGTAGCTTGGAATAAAAACAAAGTGTTGTGCTCTTTCTTGCATTGAATTGACTTCTCCTGTTTCTTGTAATCAAACCTGATAGAAGGCCAGGCTGTTTTCATGGATATCACAATCCAATGACATCTGACCTTGGGGTATTTCCTCAAAGGGAGATCAAAAGAAAAGTTAATAAAGATTATTTTCTGGCTAATCACAGCAGCAAAGAAAGATGACAGAACTATGGTATATCCTGAACAAATTTGCCTAAAATTAATTCACACTGCTTAACACCACCTCTTTTGTTGCTTTTATCCTGCCTTTCAGTTGGCTCACAACTCATTAAAATCCCAGTTTTCTTTCTGTTTGAAAAACTGCTGGTACCATGATGACCTGCCCAAATTCTAGTTTGAACATTACCTTCCAATATTTATTTTTCTTGGGTTTCATATCAAAAGTCTATGCTTAAGCTGGATATGGCGGTGCTGTACTGTTATCTCAGTACTCCGGGTAGAGACAGAGGATCTTAAGAGTTCAAGGTCATCTGCAATTGCATAGTGAGGTCCAGGACAAGGCTAGCCTGTGCTATAACCTTTAATTCATATTTAGTACCATCTCATGATGAAGTAAA